GGAGGCCAACAGAATTTAGGGATAAATAAGTAGATTTTAGAATAATCAGCAAGGTGATAATAATTGAATCCATGGGAAATGATGATATCACCAAGTAAAATACCATAGAGGGAGAAGAGAAGAGGGTCCTGGACAGAGCCCTGTGGCATGCCCATGGTTGTTGCCACATCCTAGATGAAGATCCAGCAAAGGATACTGAGTAGAGATCAGACAGATAGGAGGAAAGAATGGTGTCACAAAACTTTAGAGAGAAGAGAGTATCAAGAAAAGGGTGATAAAGTGTCAACTTGTCCACTCTCATGTAGCTAAAATTCCCAAGGTAACATTGAAACCAAGTTAGTGCCTGACTCCAAATCCACGGGTCTTCCTTCTACCATGCCTCACTGCTTATCAAATGTCAGTCCCTTCTTCAGTATCCTGCACGAACCCTACTTCCTCCCAAAACATGATGACTATTGATCTATGGTATAATCTAGGTTCTGCATGTTTTTGTTTTTCTTCATTTCCTTTGAAATTCTAGATCTTTTGTTTTTCTAAATACATTTTAAGTTATTTTGTCTAGACCTATAAAGTAACCCCTTGTTAATTAGATAAAGCACTAATTCTTTAAATTAATTCAAGCAATATAATTTTTTTTTATTACATTGACCTGGCCCGGCCATTAGCACCTAATATAACTAATTATTTAAACTGTTCATATATATATATGTGTGTGTGTGTGTGTGTGTATATATATATATATATATATATATATATATATATATATATATATATATATATATATATAAAACACATACACACACACATATGCATGTGTGTGTGTGGCCATGTAAAAAATTTCCATAATAGTCATGTTGTGAAAGAAAACATAGGACAAAAAACCCTCAAGAAAAATAAAGTTAAAAAAGTATGCTTCAATCTGTATTCAAACACCATCAGTCAATGAAGCCATTCTTAAGAACAAATTGACTTAAGGGACTAAGGCTTGAATCATTGAAATAACTTTTGGGTAATTCAAGTAAAAAAAAAACCAGTATAAAAAAAAACAAAACCTTGACAAAAACTAATACTGGAGGAGTTTTATCCAAAGTGCAACACTATGGAAGCCAGACATCAATATCCAACTGAATTAGTATTATATCCCTGCTGAGTATCTTTTCCATACCATCGTTGGGTTTTTTTGTTATTTGTTTTGCTTTTAGGCAATTGGGGTTAAGTGACTTGCCCGGGGTCACACAGCTAGTAAGGGTCAAGTGTTTGGTCTGAGGCCGGAATTGAACTCAGGTCCTCCGGACTTCAGGGCTGGTGCTCTATCCACTGGGCCACCTAGCTGCCCCTTTTCCATACCATTGTTAAGAAAAGTTTTTGTTAATTGTTAGATGGTCTGCAAATATCTCATTTCATTTCATTCCATTCCCAAGAAGGAATTACCGACATGCTAGTCAGTATAGGTCCAGAATATGGTCTTATGCTTTGAAAAGATTTTTGTTTAAATAAGTGCTGCATTTTGTTAAAGCCTTTTTCTGCATTCATTAATATAATCATGTATTTTTATTTCAATGTGCTTAATTATACTAATTATTTTTTCTAATTTTGAACCATCAGTGCTTTCCTAATATAAATCCAGATTGCTCGTATTTAAGCTTTTTGGTCATATTGATGGAGATTTTTTACTAGGATTTAAGAAAATTGAATCATAATATTCATTCATTATTGTTATCAGTCTGTTATAATGCTATTTCTTTTGCCACTCCTTGCTTTTACATCCCAATATAAATACCACATGAATGGTACAAAAAAGTATTATAGGAATTCAGAAGAAGATGAAACTCCATATGATACAGTTGGAAAAGCTTTGAATTTGCAATAAGTTATGCTTAGTCAAGTCACTTAAACTCTCAACACTTTAATTTTCTTATCTGCAGGAAGTTGGATTAGAGATTTTTGAAAGCCCCTTTCTAGCTCAAAGTCTTATGATTTCAGACTTCTTCACCTACTGACATTTATAATTTGTTAACAGCAAAAAGCTGTTACTTGGTTTTGAAGTAGACCCTTGCCCCAGTGCTTTCTAGGACATGTAGCTGTGCCTTTAATCAGCCAATATCAAACACAAATGAGAAGACCGTAATCTTATGAAATGTTCTGTTCACATTTTGAAATTTGGTAGTCCATAAATATTTGTTGACTGATCGATTGTATAGCAAATATTTGGTAGTCTCCTTGAGCAGTTTTAACACATCAAAACAATGTTTGTTGGGCTCAGCAAAGTGTTTATGATTTTTGGAGTTGGTCAGATTTTAGCTGTGTCATGCTTTGTAAAGGAATCAAGCAATAAGCATTTATTAAGTGCCTATTATATCCCAGGCACTGTACCAAGCACTGCAGATTAAAAAAAGAAGAAGAAAAGATAGTCCCTGCCTTCATAGAGCTTACAATTTAATGGGGGAGACAACATGCAAATAAATGTGTGTGTGTGTGTGTGTGTGTGTGTACACACACACACACACAGAGAAAGCTATTTGCAGGGTAAATAGGAAACAATTAATAGAGGTAAGTCACTAGAATTAAGAGGGGTTGAACAAGGCATCCTGCAGAAGATGATATTTTAGTTGGGACTTAACGGAAGCCAGAGAGGTCAGTAGTCGGAGCAGAGAAGAAATAGTGTTCCAAGGCATGGGGGATAGCCAGAGAAAATTCCTAGAGCTGAGAGATGGAGTGTTTGTTCATGGAACTGTTAGGAAGCAGTGTCACTGGATGGTTGAGTATATGTCAGAGATTATGGTATAAGAAAATGATAATGTAGAAGAGGTCTAGGTTGTGAAGGGCTTTGAATGCCAAAAGAGCATTTTGTATTTGTTCTTGGTGACAATAGGAAGCCACTGCAGTTTATTGAGTAGGAAAGTGACATGATCAGACCTGTACTTTAGGAAAATCTCTTTAGTGGCTGAATGGAGGATAGATTGGAGCAGGGAGAGACTTGAGGCATGTAGATCTACCAGCAAGCTATTGCAATAATCAAGGTGTGAGGTGATGAGGGCCTGCATTAGAGTGGTGGCAATGTCAGAGGAGAGAAGGGGAAGTACTCAAGATATGTTGCAAAGTGAGATCTAGAGCCTTGGCAAAAGCTTGGATATGGGTAGTGAGAGATAATATTGACTTCAGGTTGTGAGCTTTAGGGACTAGATGGGATGGTGTTGTCCCCTATAGAAATAGAGAAGGTACAAGATGGGTGAGGGTTTAGGGGAAAAGATAATGAGTTCAGTTTTGGACATAATGAATTATAGATGTTTACTGGACATTCAGTTCAAAATGTCTGAAAGTCAGTTGGAGATATAAGATGAGAGGTCAGCAGAGAGATTGGGGCAGGAAAGGTAGATTTGAGAATCATCAACATAGAAATGTTAATTTCATCCATGAGAGCTGATGATCTCACCAAATGAAGTAGTGTAGAGAGAGAAGATGAGAAGGTCCAGGACAAAATTCCACACCTGTAGTTAAAGGGTGTGATCTGGAAGAAGATCCAGCGAAGGAGATAGAGAAGGATCAGTTAGATAAGTAGAAGGAAAACCAGGAATGAGTATTGAGAAAATGCAATTGGATTTAGCAACTGAAATCATTAGTAATTTTTGAGAGAGGAGTTATGGTGAAATGATAAGGTTGGAAGCCAGATTGTAAGGGGTTAAAAAGACAGTGGGAGGAGTGAAGGGGGGTGCACAGGGTTGTGTCATCAAGGGGCAGTCAGGTTTTAGTAATAGCTTGTAGATGGAAGGAGTGGGAGAGGAATAGATTTAAAATGAAGGAAAATTTGTTGTCCATGGAACAGGCATTCCAGAGGGCACAGTGGAAGCAAGCAATCTGGAACAAGACATTGACAATAGGTGACCTATCAAATACCTTCTAATTTTGAGATTCTGCAAAGATGTTAAGTATCATTAAAAGAAAAAAAAATCTAGCTGTTTTGTAAACTTTGTGTAGAGATTCCTCCCACCCACCTACCACTGAAATTCCACAATCCATGTGTAATGTATAGTCCTAGAAAGTTGCATAGGTCATTGTGAGGTTAAGCAATATTGTCGCACATTTAAAATGTGTCAGAGGCAGAGTTTGAACTTGTCTTACTCCAAGCCTAGCTTTCTATTCATTGTGTCATGATGCCTTTTGGAAGATAGCATGGAACATAACATTCTTTCCTTTTATATTGGTGGATTGGTGAATGAATTCCTTAAGTATAAGGAGGATAATTCTGTGTTATTTGTAATATATATGTGTTGTTTTGTTGTTGTTCAGTTGTTTCAGTCATGTCCTTCTTTCTATGACACCATTTGAGATTTTCTTGGCAAAGATACTGGAGTGGTTTGCTATTTCCTTCTCCATCTCATTTTACAGATGAGAAAACTGAAGGAAGCAGGGTTAAGTGACTAGCCCAGGGTCACATAGCTAGAAAGTATCTGAGGTCAAATTTGAACCTGAGGTCTTTGTGACTCCAGGCCCAACACTCTATCCACTGAGCCACCTAGTTGACCTATTGCAAGGTATATACATACATACACACCTACATGTTTATAAGTGTGTATGTGTGTGTATATATACACATAGGTGTGTGAGTATATACATACACATAGAGATTATGATGATGATAGCTCACATTTACATAGCACTTGAAACTTTGCAAAGTTATATTATCTAATTCCAGCCTCAGAACAACCATTCAAGATATAGGTATTGTATTTATTATTATTCTGAATTTATTGGCGAGGAAACTGAGGCTTAGATGTATTACCTGACTTGCTTATGGTGACAGAACTAATAATATACGATCATTGAAGGTTAAAATTTATTGAAGATAGTGATGCCTCTATATTTAATTCATTAGTGAATACTATAAGTCTTTGAATGAATGCCATGTGATTGCTTTTTAAAGCATTCCATTTATAGTCAAATTGAATTTGTTTGAGCAAGTAAGAATCTCTCTGATTGTGGTTTTATTTTCTCCCTATCAGTTTGCTGTTTTGTCGTTCACAAGAGGTGCCATGAATTTGTCACTTTCTCTTGTCCGGGTGCAGATAAAGGACCTGACACTGATGTAAGTATACGCAGATGTCTGCTGGTTCACGGAGTCTTTGTAAGACAATTTTTACAAAGTTTCTTCGGCCGTTTTTGCATAGAATGATGATAGAGGGCATTCTCTCCTGGGGAACTTTCATACTTCATTAGGTTGCATCAAGCCACGACTGTCATGTTTATTTTGCATGTTACTATGCAAAGTTTGTCCCACTATATAAAATGCTTGTAATTTTCCCTGTAAACATATTGATGAGTCATAAAGGGAACATAAATCTGGTTTCATTCCACTTCAAATGGCTTATTGAATAATGAATCTTTTATTGCACTCCACTGATGTAATAAAATGTTGCTTGTTTGCTTCCTGTGATGCTTGATGCCTTTTCATTATGCATTATAAATTCCCCTGCTGAATAAAATAATTTAACATCTGTTTAGAAGAACAATACTTTTAGAAGCTTTCTTTGTCTGAACATATAATGTAGCTTATTTATGTCCTAATTCTATTCTGTCTTTACCATTATCTCCCTGCATTTCTCGGTTGTTCTTGAAATGGGATATATTGGTCAAAATGTAAAAATACATGGAGAATATTAACATCTAAAATGTAGTTAGAGAAAGAGGATAAAAATAAAAGTGATAGAATGGATTTAAGGAGTTTAGAAAAACAGGTGCTACAATAATATTCCATTCATTCCTCTCCCAACTCCCTTAACTGACATTAGTTAGCATAAGGGAAGGTTGAAAAAGATAAGATGGAAAAGGCTGCTAGAAAACTCATTGGAAGATGAGCCATCAGAGATTCTTATCTATGTCCTTCCACAAATCCTGCATAAAAATATGTACATATGTTAGTACTAGGTATTCCTCTGTCATTGGTTTATGGGTATTTATTTTGTGATAAATCAAATTTATGACAAATCAAAACCTAGCCCAAAGAAGATTCCTGAATGCCTCATCTCTTATTTCCATTTGCTTTCTTTGCTTGAAAAAAATATATTGATAATCTCTTCTATTTCAAATATTCAGTTCCAATATGTATTTGAACTGTGTGGGTGAAATGAAGCCTTTTGCTGACACTCGTTCCTCTCAAGCCTTCACTGCTTTTTCTCAATAACCTTTTCATTCTAGCCATGACTAATTATTTTTCTAAAAAAACCAAAAGAAGGAATTTTTGTGGGATTTGGAAGTCCGTTCCCTTGTTTTCACATAGGCAATGATGGAAGTTAATGGCAACCATTTGATAAGGGGATATGATACACAGTATACAATAGACATGGTAGTATTCAGAATATTGGACTATTAGCCTTATTCTTTGGCCTTATAACTATCTTGCAAAACTTTCATTTGACCTTTTTCTTCTCATCTTCTTTTTCTTCCCTGTTTTATGCTAAATAGTCTCAGTTTGAGGGCTTAGAAAAGGAATGAATAGAAATGCTATTTATCCTACGATATCCTTTTACATGCCTACATCTATTCTACTCCTTTTGTTTTTACCTGACCCAAAACATTAATGTACTATAATTTTACCTGTCCTTTTCTTGTCTCTTCTTCCTTGCACTTTTCTCTGTCTCTCCCCCCCCCACCTTTCTCTATTTTATCATTTCTCTCCTTCTTTCTCCCTGATGCTGGGAATGTAGTAGCAGTGATCATGGTGATAGAGCAAGAGGGAGAGAAATAGACATTTCTCACTGGATTTATTTCGATCCCTTTCTCTCCATCTGTTTCAAATACTTCTTAATTTCTTTAATAATACTTAACTAAAAATGGAAATCTATTGTCCAGTTCTTTGAACCATCTGTATTCTTGTTCTCTTAATCATTCATTGATTTAACAAACATGTATTAAGTGCCTAATATATGCCAGGCACTTTGCTAGAAATTGAGAATACAAAAATTAAAAAGGAAACACTTTATGCCTTTTAAGGAGTTTACATGCTATCGGGTAATACAGTATGCACATAGGAAAAATACATACAAAATATAAACAAATTAATTTCTAATGAAAAGATGGGAAGGATTAGAATCAGAGTGGGCTTTCTATGGAATATGGTACCTGATCTGTTATTTGAAGGAACCTAGAGAATCTATTGAATATAAGGGATGAGAGGATTGAAAAGATGCTGTACCTGAGATTACAAAACATGGTGGCCTAGAAGAATGATTTCAACAGAAATAGACAAGTTAGGAAAAAGGGAAAATTAGGGGTGACTGGAAGAGAATGAGTTAGTTCTCTTTTCAACATGTGAAGAGTTCTGTCATTGCTTCATATTTTCTAAATCATTCTTAATTTTAGAGACTAAAACTGTATATAAGGATGATAAAAGTTAGAGTGTACTAGATATAATGGGGAGATATTTTGTGGCCTTTGGTTTTGACATGCTCTTTTCCTACTTCCCTCTCAACTGTATTCAAGGGTTTTTTAAAGAATCTTAATAAAACAGCAAATGGATGATGGCAGTCTTTCTTACTGTTTTTAATAGTTGCAATTTTTGTTTTTTGGTGAGGCAGTTGGGGTTAAGTGACCTACCCAGAGTCACATAGCTAGTGAGTGTTATGTGTCTGAGGTCAGACTTGAACTCTGCTCCTTCGGACTTCCTTCTGACTATCCACTGTACCACCTAGCTGCCCCGCAACTTTTCACTTGAAAAGTGTTTATATTATTAACCATTTATTCTTTGGGGTTTGACTTTTGGTCTTTGTATGTATAATTTCCTACATATCTTAGATACTAGAGCCTGTGACAGATATAAGATGTAATTCTGCTTTTTTATTTAAATGATAGTATTTATTTCTTCTTTTATTTGGCCGATAGTTATCAAGTGACTCCTATGTGCATGGCACAATGCTAGATATTGAAGGCCACTTGCCTTCATGTTAACTGCAATCAGACAAGTCAGCTTGGGAGACAAAATGCATATACGTGAAAAGTTAAAGATTACTGATATTTTGTATCACACATAAGTAATCTCATGCTTCCACGTAGCATGTATTACTTTCAGAAGCATTAAATGCTACAAAATGATTTTGATAGAGATAAGTTTCTATTTATATTATTATACTTGATCCTCCCACAGTAATAAATGTCATAAATCAGTTTATGATTAAATGCCTAATGAGTGAAAGAGATACCATATGCTGTCAAAGGATGCAGACATTAGTGGAGGTGGATTAGGAAACCTGGACTCAATTCTCTGCTCTTATGCTTAATTTAGTGACCCTAGGCAAGTCACTTAACCTTGACATGCTTCAGTTTCTTCTGTAAAATAGAAATGTGAATACCTAGCTCATTACCTCATGGGTATATTGTAAGCAATATATAATTTAAACTTTAAGGTACTTTATGAATATTGAGGTCTTATTCTTAATTATACAGTATTATCTTATGGAAATAAGATATATTGAGTTATATTTATATATCTGAAACTTACTGGTTATAAGGCCATGAGCAGATTATTGAACATCTCTGAACTTCATTTTCTTTGTTTGTTGGGATTGTAGCAATTCCTTAAAACCAAGAAGAAAAAAAAGAGGAAAAAAAAAGTCTTTAACAAAGCTGACCAACATATCAGTCAAGTCTGACAATATATACCATGGTTAATCCCCATTATTTCCAATCACTGTGAAGAAAGGAAGGAACATATTTCCATATCTGTTTTTCAGAGAGTCCTGCTTAGTTATTATGGATATCATGATTTTTTAAAAATTGATTATCTAATCTATGAGCATCTACTTTGTAAATTCTTTGCTACTACATAAAAGTGCTGCTCTGAGTATTTTGGTGTATGTTGTACTTTTACATCTATCCTTGACTTCTTTCTTCATAGCAGTAAGATCTCTTGAGCAATGACATTTTAGCCACTTTGTCATCACAATGCCAAATTGCTTTCCAGAATGGTTAAACAAATTCTTAGCTTCATAACAGTTTATTAATGTGCCAGTCTTTTCACAATACCTCCAGCAGTTTCAATTTCCATCATTTGTCATTTTTGTCAATTTGCTGGGTGTGAAGTGAAACCCCAAATTTGTTTTGATTTGCATCCCTCTTATTATTAATGATTTGTGCCAACCTTTTTTTTTGCTATTGTTAGTAGTTTGCAACTTTTGAAAAGTATTAATAGGTTTGACTTTTGGTTTTTTACATATATAGGTGTATGTGTCTATATCTATATCTATATCTATATCTATATCTATATCTATATCTATATCTATGTCTATGTCTATGTCTATGTCTATATCTATATCTATATCTATATATCCATATCTATATGCCTATAATACACATGCATATACACACATACATGTATATACATACATACACATATATACACATACGTATATACACATACAAATATGCATGTATACATACACACATACTAGATACATACTGGACAGTAGAGCCGTGAAAAACAGAAAGTGTACTTTTTCCCAAATCAGTTGTTTCCTTTCTTAGTTATATTGATTCTGTTAGTTCAAAACTTTTTCAAATTCATGTAATATATATTATTTACTTTATTATTTATTTTTATATTTTGTAACCCCTTTTATCCCTTATTTACTTAAGCATTTTCCCCTTAGTTATAGTTGTGAAGGTACCTAATACTGTTCTCTCTTGTTTTATGGTATGAATTCATTTTGAGATCAGTGTGCTGTGTGGTATTTAAGGTGTTGAACTAATTTTTCCAATTCCAATTTTCAATTTCAGTTTCCAATTCCAATTCATTCCAGATTCCCCAGAAATTAGGTCAAATAGGGTATTCTTCCCCCCTCCTTTATATTCTTACATTTATTGAAGGCTGAATTACCTAATATGATTGTTTTTGGGCCATCTTTCTCCACTTATTAAATAAATTTTATTAAGTGACCACTACATGCCATTTGCAAAAGACAATCCCTGCCCTCTACTTTTCTATTTTTTAGTCAATACAAAATGGTTTGGATGATTACTAATTTGTAATATACTTTGAGTTCCCTTCCTCTTTTATTAAAATCTGCTTTTTCCTCTAGAAATTCTAGATTTCTT